AGAATGAGAGAGAGAGAGCATGAGAGGGAGGAGGGTCAGAGGGAGAAGCAGACTCCCCGCCGAGCAGGGAGCCCGATGTGGGACTCGATCCAGGGACTCCAGGATCATGACCTGAGCCAAAGGCAGTCGCTTAACTGACTGAGCCACCCAGGCGCCCCAGATTGAGATTTATACTCTCATTTATATATTACCAGTTTCTAGATCTCAAAGAAATATTTCCTTATTTATTCTTGCAGAAGGTCAGTATTTCTACCCTGAGTCAAGGATAGACTATTTCTTGAACTACAAAGTTATAAATTAAATATGTTGTTTTTCTCTTAAGACTTGGTTTCAAATCTTTGCTCTCTTACCCAGAGTCCAACTCTTACCTTAACTCTCACTCTACCAGCATCCTTAGTACTCTTCTAGGGGATATATCTCACTGTTTTTCTTATGCACTTTGCATAAAGTTGGAGGACACTGCTCTCATTTGGGAGGGAGACAGCTGCTAATAACTTAGATTTGGGAAATAAAAAAATCCTTCTCATCTGATACATATCTTTTTTCTGTTGTTCTACATTTTATATACTGTGAATTGGATAAACAGTAGATAGAATATAAAACCTACTATGTGTGATATGAATTTTATATCAATGTCTAGGAAATGTGAAAAGTAGTAGAGCCTAGTGATTAAATATGTGGTCTTTAGCACAAAGCCCGATGGGTTTAAATTCTGAGCTCTTTCCCATCAGTCTCATCACTAAGGTCATTTATTTAATGTCTCTGAGTTCATACTAAATTAAATGAAAGAGAAGAATAGTGCCTACAGCACAATAAATACTCAGTTAAATAGTCATAATATCACAGACCTATAATATTTATTTATTCATGCATTTCTCAATGAACAGTTAAATATTTTTATAAAAATTACCATAAAACTACTATAAAGGGTCCATGTACAGCATCACCAGTGGTCGGCTAATGAACACAAAGCAGAGGCCAGTATTTCAAACTGAATCTGAATCTGATCAAGATTCTCTATCAACTCTCAGTTTACAGGAAATACAGAGAACAGAAGGACTTGTTGAACTCCCCCATGAGGGTAAAATCATTGAAATCCAACTATGAACATGTTTACAAGACTACCAGTTTTCCTTTAAAAAATAAATTACAAGTAAAAACAGAAAGAGAGAAAGGTGAATTCAATACCCATAAACATTTCTTGAGTAATCTACTAGAGGGAAAGCTTTATCTACCAAAGTAACAACTAAGAAAACTTCAGCAAACGAACTGAGGGTGAGCTTTTTAAAATAATATAAAATGTACATGTAATACTAACAGAAAGGTGAAAAACAGAGAGGAAGACTAATGTACAAATGTTATGTGTTGTAATGAAGTTAGAAATAATATAACTAAAAAAAATAAGGATAGGGAAGTAGAGCAAAGGAAAATGAAGTTCATTATATTAGGAAAAAAGGGGTGTCAAAAGATATGGATAAAAATTAATAAGCCAGATAGTAAAAGGTTAAAGAAGCAAGCAGGGGTCTGAGGTAATCTAAAACTTTAAGTATAAATAAATAAATATATATGTATTATTATATATTCATATATGTATTCACATCTTAATATACTTATGTAAAATAATAAATATCTCATAGAAAATAAAGCATAGCAAAAAAACAAAATATGTATAATTATAAAATATTATAGCAGAATTGAGATCAAACATATGAATCATAGCAACATATTAAATTCACTTCATTCACCCATTAAAATAAATTGCTTTCAATTTGTCTTAGAAAACAAGTCTCCACTATATGATGTACATAGGAGACATATTTAAAACACAGTAATTTGGAATGACTAAAAAATAAAAAGGAAGAACAAAAATATTACAGGAAAACAGAAACAGAGAGCAGCAAGTAATGCAATTTCAGACAAAACAGAAAACCAGTCCAAAAATATGAAATGTGACAAAGAACACTTTTCAGTTCTAAAACACTTTTCAATACAAGTTAAATTGAAGCTATAACACATGCATATTCATGCCCCCATTAACCTACTACTTTTATGAGAAAAAACTACAGGATGTGTAAGTAGACACAGAATCACAATAATACAACTCTCTCACTCCAAGACAGATCAGATGGACAATAAAAGGCAACAGAAAATGTAGAAAATAGATATGATAAACCTTATGGATATATATCAAAACTCTACATGCTGATAATAGAGACCACTCGTTCTTCTCAAGTGTCCAGGGTACATTTACAAAAGTTGATTATATTTAGGTAACAAAACTCAAGAATTTCCATAACAGAGAAAGACAACTACCATATGATTTCACTCATATGTGAAATTTAAGAAACAAAACAAACAGACATGGGGGAAAAAAGAGGAAAACCCAAACCAGAAACAGATGCTTAATTATAGAAAACAAACTGTTATCAGAGAGGTAGTGGGTGGGAGATGGGTGAAATAGGTGATGGAGGTTAAGGAGGGCACTTGCTATGATGAGCACTGGGTGTTGTATGTAAGTGATCACTAAATTCTATATCTGAAAATAATATAACACTATATGTTAACTAACTGGAATTTAAATACAAACTTGGAAAGAAAGAAAAAAACTTTCCATGACAAAAATATAACAAAGGACACTACTGGTCATAATACAATAAAACTGGAAATCACTAACAAAAAGAAATTGTTCCACCCAGGAAGTTAAAGAGTTAAACTCTTCTATTAAACATTTCTTGAGTTAAAAAAATACAAACTCAAATCTGAATTGTCAAAAGCATAATGACCATAAAAATACTACATATTAGACTCTATTGGATATACTTACAGCAGTATCTAGCACTAAACATGTTTATCAGAATAAATAAAATAATAAAAATAAATTGCTTAAATTATTAAATTAAATTAAACTTTTTCAAAAGAAAAAGGAGGGGAGGGAATCAGATACAGTGGAATTAGCAGTTTTGGGGGAAATTTGTGAAGGGAATGGAGCAGCCAGGAAAGGAGTAGTAACACAGAGGGAAAGGAGAAAAGGAATACTAAGTGAAAGAGTACCTGAATAGTGAATTTAAGAAAAGAAATGTCAAATATGAAATTGTAAATTGTCTTACTCTGCAGTATGTGATACAAATTCCTCCCCCATTCTCCTGTAAAATAATCCACAAAATCTTTAGTAAACTTCCATGTCTCACTAATACTCCTAACTGAGTAGTTTCAAACAATACAAGAGGCTTGGCTAACTATCTCATAGGAGATTAAATTTCCTGCAAATTCCAGAAGTCTAGAGGAGGAACAATGCTTTTTTTAGGCCACAGAATTAAGATTTATAAAAACCTTACCTGTATCCTGTGGGACAGAAAGATACCAGATGGCCTTTCTCCTCTAGACATAAAGTGTACATATATAAATATGTAGTTTCACTGATGTGGACATATGATTGCTGCCTGTGAGTGTGTGTGAGTGGTGTGTGTGTGTGTGTGATTACATGTATAATGAATGTATGGTGTGGAGTATTAACACCGCAATGAAGAGAATTCTTTACCCTTGTCAAATTGCATTGACTTTGAAAAAAATGAAGACCACCCAAATGAGAACAAGCAAAGGGTATTTTTTCAGAGCATGACATAGCAAGAAAGTCAGTCACAATCTGTGAATGGCAGAAACGTAAAAATAGAGAAGTGGGGAAGCTTTAGAGCAGAGGAAAGGGAAAACTTCAGGTAAACATGTTTTCATTGGAGGTTACTGGCATGGGGAAGCTAGAGGTGGGCTGAATAAAGGTGGGGTGTCCCATGGGATTGTTTAAGGGAGCACTTTTGGCTATGTCTGGTTGGCCTTAGTTGGAAGTAGGGGAAAAGTACAACATTATGGAGGCTGTCAGTTATTGATCAAGTTTTGGCTATTTTAGGTGATTGCTACAGAGGTTGTAGTTTGACTTCTTGGATTGGTTGCTACAAAGACTGTTGGTCAGAATTCTGCTTTTTTTATATAAGGACATGGCCATCTGTATATCCAATCTCTCAAACTGTTAAAAAATGTGTCATGTATTAGGCACAAGAAAATCTCTATATACATTGAACAGATGAAATTTAGATCTTACTTCATCTCTGACCATGAATTATTACTAGTAATTATTCATAGATAACAACAAAATAAGCAATAGAAACCTCAGCCTCCCAAAACACAAGTGCTCTGAGATTCATCACTGAACAGAGAAAGAAAAAAACATAAAGAAAATAAGGGCTTTGATATAAATTACACAAAAAAGGAAGCAAAACAAAAAGTTTAATTCTTAAAAATAAATTAAAAAACAAAAGTGCCATACATTATATCTTAAAAATGAATTTAGTACTCAACTATAAAAAGGTGATGTACAATAAATAAATCAATCCAAACAAAGAAGAAATTAATGTAAGGGAAAGCAGAAGTAAATAAATAAAATAGCAAAATAACAGTGCTTGGATAAAACAAAGTTAATTCTACTTATAACAAATCATTAAAATATATATTCACTATACCATTGAACCAAGAACATAAGAATGGCAATAATAAATAATTATTATTAGTAGTAGTTTAAATAGTAGCATTTATAATACTAGTAATAGTATTATATTAAATAATATTAAATTATTAGTAATAAATAATACTAATATTAGTAATAGTATTTAAAATACTAGTATTTTAGTAGTAGTATTCATTTTACTGCCATCCTTCTTCCCCCTCTAGTTTATCCCCACCATATCTTGTCAGAGTGGCAGGAACTTGACCCCCATGTTAGCCGGCTCCCAACCACCTCCCCCAATCTCTTTGCAGATTTTTCAGAGAGAAATACCCTCTGGACACCCAGAGGTTAAATTATAGTTGTCATATGAATGTGATAAAAATAATTCGAGATAAGTGAATTTTACTATCAGAAATTTACAAAAATACTTCATAACCTCTAAATGTAATAAAAAATAAAGGTGTGTGAGTGACGATCAAGGTTTTTACCCCACCAACCATGACAGGTGTGAGCCAGGACCTGCTGGACGTGAACACTGCAGCCCAGTGGAAACCCATGCTCTATACTGTGGCTTTCCTGCACTCCACAGTCCAGGAGAGGAGGAAGTTCGGTCCTCTGGGGTGGAACATCCCCTATGAATTTAATCAGGCCGACTTTAATGCCACTGTGCAGTTCATCCAAAACCACTTAGATGACATGGACGTCAAAAAGGTACTGCGTGTGCGCTGCCCTGAGCTGCCAGTGACTGTGGGCGTGGGTCCTCAGGCTCATGCTCCTGCCCAGCTGGGGGATTGATCCTGTGACAGTGATGATCTTCTGTGCTTGCAAGGTCTTACCTTTACGTAACGCCAGCTAGGTCACACTTGCCTCTGGATTTCAGATGAAGAAAATGAACCAATTTCGATTATCTTTGTATTTCTCAAAGCTGAGTTGAAATTACTTGCAAGGCAGAAGGGTCGAATGGGAGGGGGAAAGGGTGAGAAAACTTGTTTTTTAGAATCTTAAAAAATGAAAATGAAAGTCTAGATCACTTTTGAAGCATGTGCTTTTTAAAGAGCTGCGTCAGTTTTCTGCAAAACTATCTTTTTGTTGTGGTGGTTGAAATTGAAGTATGAAAGCATATGAATGCACCAAAGGGGCCTATTTCAAATCATGAGCAGGAGCTTTGTGTAATCCTCAAGATTTGGCTATGTCATTTTCTTCCTGCACTTTTAACATTACTGATGAAGAATGAATGAATGACATTCGTGACCACAAATATACAGATGTATATTGGCGGGGAAAATCAGGATGAGCCGGTAGTCAGTTCTACACAACTATTCTGTTGATGTCCGCAGGGTGTCTCCTGGACCACCATCCGCTACATGATAGGAGAAATTCAGTATGGGGGCAGAGTCACTGATGACTATGATAAGAGGTTGCTGAACACATTTGCTAAGGTCTGGTTCAGTGAAAATATGTTTGGATCAGATTTCAGCTTTTACCAAGGATATAATATTCCGAAATGCAACACAGTGGATAACTATCTTCAATATATCCAGGTTTGTCCACTTCAGAATTATATGCAGAGAGCAAATATATGCAGCCTATTGACCACTTTGATATTTATTTAAAAGCAGCTGCAAACACTGCTTTTAAAATAAATTTTAATGGTGATACATACTCTCACTGTAAGTGCTTTCTTCATATGTTTATAGTCACCTAATGATTAAAATGTTTGTATTTGTTCTGAGTGTGGGTTTTGTATGAGTTCCCTCCTCCCTTCTTTTTTATACCTCGGTGAGGAATATTCGTTGGGGATATGACAGACTGGGCAGATTTTGAACTAGGGAAACTATATAGATCCCTGGGAACTCTCGAGACTTCAGCTACTTGTGATAATAGGGCAAAGGCCACCTCTGGACTCATCCTGAGACACCTGGTTCACAATCCTGGCTGAATGGATAGAATCTGAGTATGTTCAGGAACCTGCTTTGCATAGGAGCTTCCTTCCTCAACCTGGGCACCGGTGACATTCAGGGCGGGGTTCTTCTCAGCGGTGGGGGGCTGTCCTGTGTACATTGGTTAGCAGCATCCCTAGCCTCTCCCCACTAGATGTCAGCAGCACCCCCCATCCCCATCTAGTTGTGACAACCAAAAACGTCTCCAGACATGCCAAATGTCCCCTGGGGGCAAAATCGCCCCGGCTCAGAATTGCTGTTCCAAGGAGAAATAAGATTTTGGGGGAAAAGAAATAAGAAGTTTGGGGGAAAAGATCTGATTTGTGTTTCAAGGTAACTACATTTTTTCTTCTCTGTACCTTGAACCCATTAGATCATTATTTAGAAATGTCTTTTGGAACACCTGCGTGGCTCAGTCAGTTAAGTTTCTGCCTTCGGCTCAGGTCATGATCTCCGGGTCCTGGGATCCAACCCCGCATCAGGCTCCCTGCTCAATGTAGAGTCTGCTTTTCCCTCTCCCTCTGCCGCTCCCCCTGCTTGTGCTCTCTCCCTCTCTCGCTCTCTCTCTCAAATAAATAAATTTAAAAAAAAAATCTTTTTTTTTTTTAAAAGAAATCTCTTTTGCCTCTATCTGAGATTTATCTCAGAGTGAACAAACTAAAGCCCAATGGCCCCAAAGGGCTAAATTTATCAGTACATTTAGAGGTTCTGTGATATATGAATGTAATGAGTTTATCATATATTACCACCTCTACACTTTTATTAATTCAAATCAACAAATATATTTGTCTTAACTGTACTATATATGTCTTTAAATCATTAGCCCTGAATACAAAAGTGCCTGTGAAGATATAAATTTAGACATGCCAGTACATGCATTTATTTACATATACCTCATTTCACAATGAACTTGAGGTTGTTCATAAGAAGACATTATATAAAAAGGAATAAAATAAGAGAGGAGATTGCAGGAAAAATATGAGACAATAATAGAGTTTAGGATACAATTCACGCATTGAAACCAATGTCAAATTTAGGTATATCTTTTTTCTTTCAAATAGCTGTGTTCTTCACCTGCTTGTGCTGCTTCTGATCGTCTCTTGCTGTCTGCTTTTCTCTTGGACTTGGTCACTCTTGATATTCCTCTTTTCCTAGTCTCCATCTTTCTCCCTGGGAGAGTACAGTTTCCACCTGCCGCCTTCTTTGAGCCATAATTGCTAACAACTGTCATTTGCTGGTACCTTAAAAACATAGAAACCATTAGTTATACCACATTTGTTTAAATGATTGGTTCGAATTAAATCAGACCTTCAGAAAACGAAATACTAATCCATAGCTCCCTTTCTGTTTCGTGTTTTCTAAAACAAGACAGTATCTCTGTGACTGAATTTGCTTGAGGTGCAGAGATGTTAAGGAACCATGAACTTGTTATGTTTCTCAGTGTTCATCCTATTTCAAGCCAACTTTTGATTCTTTTCTGGAGAAATTACTGAGATTGCAGCCTGACACAAATAAGACATAGCATGTAAATACTTATCTTTTTTGGTGGTGGTGGTGGTGGGGGGGTTATTTGATGTTATTCATTTATTTTAAAATTTGAGTATAGTTGACACACAATGTTAACATGACATATCTTAATAAAAATATTTGTTTCCTAAGACAGTATAATTTAATGGGGGCTTATGTCAGCAATCTGGGATAATCTGGGGTACTTCTTGTTCAGAGCCTGCCTACCTACGACAGCCCCGAGGTGTTCGGGCTGCATCCCAATGCCGACATTACCTACCAGAGCAAGCTGGCCAAGGACGTGCTGGACACCATCCTCAGCATCCAACCCAAGGACAGCTCTAGTGGAGGGGATGAGACCCGGGAGGCTGTGGTGACCCGGCTGGCTGATGATATGCTGGAAAAGCTGCCCCCGGACTATGGCCCATTTGAAGTGAGTTGATGACATTCTGACAGGATGTCAGCTGTGGATGTGTCTGTTCGGTTGGGAGGAGCGAGGAGTAAGGAAGGAGGGCAAAAAATGATTTTTCTGAAGTTAAAAAAAAATTCAAAAACTCACTTCCTGAAGAACCAGAAAAAAAGAAGTTTTTAAATCTATAAATGTGATCATTTTGAAATATAAACAGTAAAGAACCCTGACAAGAATGTTCATGTTCGTAACTACGTTCTAAGTGCGTACCGATGGGTTAGGATTGCTTTTCCAGAACTTTCCTTTGAGGTACGTCACATTGCCATTTGTTCGAAGGAAAGTAATGTATTTTTAGAGCAAAACACCTGATCATCTAAAAAATATTGTGTAACTTAATGCACATCTTAAAATTCAGGCCTTCCTAATTTTAGGGAGTTTGTATTTACATCATTAACTCTGCAGCTTCATGGGTTTTGAAAATTGATTTGTCTTTTTAGTATGTAAGTAACTTTTAAGCCAAATTTATGATTAGGAAAGTTCATTTTTTAGACAGTTTAGCAAATGTTAGTGAAAAGATTTACCCTGAAAACATTTTAAAATCTGGGATAAAAGCACCAGTGACTGACTTACTTTCCATGTAGTCTTAGCAGATGCCCCAGACTAACTGTCTAACACTTTTTTTTACCTGGTTTTCAAAAAAGAAACCTGCAGCATTTTGTTTCTTTAGCATCTTATTATTTTCCACAAAGCAGACCATTTTTGTTGCTGGTGCTGTAGACTGAACTCAAGGACCTATTACGAAGGGAAAAATTTCCCCTTGAGAAAACTGATCACTTGTTGGAGAAAATCAGTACCACTATCAGCTTTAATAAGTACCTCTCCTTATAGTATCAGGAAAGAGGTCATTCATATCTAACGGTGGTTGAAATATTTATGAAGCAATAAAAATATCTAAAAATAGAATAGCAGTTACATAAATAAACGTGCTAAGTAATGGAGTTTAGGAGAGTCCCCTTCCTTTGGCTGACTTTGTCAGTGCTGCCTTAGGATAAAGCAACTCAGCCCAGCAGGATAGCTGATCCAGAGAAGATGCTCAATAAATACTTACAGAATGGAAATGGATGGATTGGTGGGTGGGTTGGTCGGTGGATGAATGGAAGGATGCTTTGATGGAAAAAACAGGAAGCTTTTAAAACAGGAGTCTGTCTTTTGATGTAGCCCGCAGAATGGTTGTGTGTGTGTACATGTCTGTGTGTGTCTGTGTGTGTGTTTGCCAGCCTTAGGCCGCCAGGCACGTGAACATTTCCTGATGTGCGCAGTTGCAATTTGGAAGGCTGGGTGATTACGGTCATGCGTTCATATTCTTCTGTGAATGAATGGCTGCATATTCTCTCCCACCTGGGATGCAAAATCAGCTGGTCCACTAACAGATGTGTCTTTTTATATTTCGTCTTTGTTTTCTGGCAGTGAAAAAAAAATTAAAAGCTTACCATTAACAGAATTGTACAATCAGGGGCCTTCTCAGCAGCCCCAGGGAACCGGTTACGTAAATATTAGTAGCTGTCACATTTTTAACGTGTGCTGAATGTCTCCGTGGCAGGTGAAAGAGAGGCTCCAGAAGATGGGGCTGTTCCAGCCGATGAACATTTTCCTCAGGCAGGAGATAGACCGAATGCAGAGGCTGCTCACTCTGGTCCGCAGCACCCTGACCGAGCTAAAACTTGCTGTTGATGGTACCATCATCATGAGTGAAGACCTAGGAGATGCACTGGACTGCATGTTTGATGCCAGAATTCCTGCTCGGTGGAAGAAAGTATGTTCAAGTCCACTCCTACTCTACTTCATCACTTTAGTGTTGTGAGTAGGTGGGATTGGCAAGTGGAAAGCAGGAGAGCACAGTTTTACTTAAAAGGGTTCTTTTGTTTAGGGACTGATCCCCTGGTAGGCCTGTAATTTTAGCTTTTAGGGAGGGAAGGAGACTATTTAGCATCTCCCACATATCAGGCACTCTCCTGGGCCATTGACATGCATTATTGCATTTAAATTTTTGCATCTTATGGCCCTCATTTTGCAAGTGAGGAACTTGAGATTGGGAGACACTAAATCTTTTCCCAGATCACACACCTACCTAAGAAGTCCAAGGATCAGAATTTAAACCCAAGCTCTTGAACTTCAAAGCCTGTGTTGTTAGTCTTATAGAAGGAAGTGTTCTTGTGCATGCACATGCACACACACACACACTGCAAAAGTCACACCAAAGAGAAACATTTTTCATTGCTTTGTCTGTAGATATGTGAGTATGTGTATCTCCAGGTAACAAGATAATGATTTAACGGTATGCTTACTGATCATGTGCTGGTCCTTATGCTAAATGACAGATATGCTTTTAACAAATACTTGTCTACTTGGAGAAGTAAAAGGAGTACCAGACTGTCTTTGTCCAGCAGTACATGCATTGTGGGGGGTGGTGAAGATCTGGGGGTGTGGTGGGGAGCACCGGGGAGGGCGGAGGGCTGGGGCTGGGCCAGGTGAGGGAATGTGCAGGGAGGGCAGCATTGGGAGATGGGATAGGGTCATGCGGTGACTAGAGTCTTGGTCTTTTGGAGGCTACTCAGGTAAACGGGAAGGCGGGACCTAATAGGGTTAGCACTGACAGCCTCTTGGAAGAGACTCATTTAGCACTGAGACTCTGATATCTCACCCAGGGCTTTAGAAACCCGGATCAGCTTTGACCAGACTCCATCCTCTCCTCACCTTCAGTGAATTCATTCCCAAGGCCAGAGTTTTCTATGGACTGACTTTCCTTGTTGCCAGTGACAGAGGGAGAACCTACCTGTCACTAGCCATTGCAGGTTCATTCCCCACCAAACCGACTCACTCACCTTGGTCAGCACCTGGAAGGCTCTGAACAAGGATCCTTGGCAGGAGGGTCCCTCGCATTAATGGTTCCCTGTGCCCTCAGATCAAATGCAGTATAAACATATCACTTTCAGTTAACACATCTATAAAGATAGGATAGAATGAGTTACCTGATTTTAAAATTATGATCCTTTTTTTACAGGTTTTTATTCTACTCAACTTATTGTCAGTCTTTGGAATCTCACTGTTTATAGGCAAATTAATTCTTAAGAATTTGAAATTCAAGCAGTATATATCTACACAAGTTGATCACTGCATTTATTCATACATAAAGTATTCCAATTACAGTAAAATGATATAAAATATGATTTGGAGATACCTACCTGTAGAGTTGCTGCTAACACTAATAACATATCCATGCCAATTGTAATAATAGAAGTTCTACATGTGAATTCAGGCAGAATATTACAGGCAATGAATGCAATTAATTTGTTGGTGGTAAGGGACCTGTGTTTCCATTTCTGCTCCTTCATCAGAGGAAATAAAAGTTCATTCTCGGGGACAAGAACTTCGGAAAATAACTGTTGTTTGCCTCATTAAAAATGAGAAGTGGAGAAAGTCTTCTATGATTTATTATCCACAGAATATATTTTTAAGAGACCATGAACACATTTATGTAAATAGAAGCCTTGTTTTATGATGTAGCTGTTAAAAATGTAACCTAAGGAGAAAAAATGTATCCTAAGGAAAAATAGTTGAGACCTATTAAATTTAATTCAATTAACTGTTTTAATTGCTTTATAGCAGAATTGGTAGTGAATATACTTGTACTTGAACAGCATCCTGAGTGCTAGATTGATCTGGAGTTCATGTGACGATTAACTGATTCTATCATATCTTAATATCAGGAGAAAGAATAATTTGAAAACTTAAATGTCAGAACCCAAGGGAAATTCACGTTTTAGGGACTTTTAAATTCTAAAAGTGAATTTGGTATTTCATATTTTTTTTCTGTGCACATAGCTAGTTACACAGCAGAATTAAGCCTGTATTAATTAATTATTTCAATGTATGCATTTCAGGCATCATGGGTTTCAAGTACATTGGGTTTCTGGTTTACTGAACTTCTAGAAAGAAACTGCCAGTTTACCTCTTGGGTTTTCAATGGTCGACCCCAGTGCTTCTGGATGACAGGTTTTTTTAACCCCCAAGGATTTTTAACTGCAATGCGCCAGGTAATAGTTCTGATTACACCTGTTGTGTTATTATGATTTTCTTCTACAAGGTTTTCTTCTGTCAGTATAGTTTTAAGACTATAACGAGACAGAGAAAGGCTGTCCCTTTTTGGCACCAGAAATTACATTGTCCTGAAAGTAAATCCAGCAATTTGTTCTCAGGCTGCTAGCTTGAATTTCAAAGCATTTATTTGTTATCTTTATATTTGATATAATTTGATATTTCTTTGTAAAATACAGTGGTTAAACTAGGACGTGGGTATTGTTTATGAGAGGATCTTTTTAACTCTTAAAGTACAATTCTGCTTCCTCTGAATTAGGGTACTTTGGGGTTACACTTTCATCACTGTTATGCTCTTTATGTTAAGATAAACCGCTAATCACTCCCTCCGTCCTTTGCTCTTGTTCTTGTCCTGAGCAGGAAATAACTCGGGCCAACAAAGGCTGGGCCTTGGACAATATGGTGATTTGCAGTGAGGTCACCAAGTGGATGAAGGATGACATTTCCGCCCCGCCCACCGACGGTGTCTATGTCTACGGCTTGTACCTTGAAGGTGCTGCTTGGGACAAGAGGAACATGAAACTCATCGAATCCAAACCAAAAGTGCTCTTTGAGTTGATGCCTGTCATAAGGATTTATGCAGAAAACAACAGTAAGTTATCTCGCGCATTCAGGGGCGGTTGGCGTTATCAGATTGGATAATGTTATAAACACAAGATTCTTGTTATAAAAACAAGAATCCTGAGGATTTTACTATTTTATCAGCATTTGCACTCACACCCATGTTTAACGAGTGCTTATGACTGCTAGGCACTTTTTTGAGTGTTACAGGGGAGGCCATGGTTCTAGATCATTCTTGCCTATCTACTAAAGCAGGTAAAATATATATGGATACTCATGAATCGTTAGCTGATGAGATAAGAAGCAAGTGTTTGGAATAGTTAACAGAGGGTGGGAAAGAAGGGGAGGTGAAAATGGGAAGAAGTGGCCAGGGGCTGTGTCTCAGGAGCAGAGCTGGACAGGGCCTGGAAGGTTGGATAAGATGAGATGGGACAAGGGGTGGAAGGGTGGCTTTCGAGGCAGGACTGCACAGGGCCCACTGGAGGTGCCGACTCTACCAGCTCGGAAGTTTAAGCCACGTTGTGAAAGCCAGATTGAATTCAGGGCCATTTGGCTTAATCCAGTAGCTAATAGTAAAAAGCTGGTTTCATATTTCAGCCTATGAACATAATAGCATGTCTGTGAAGCACACGTTATTCCACTTTGACAAAGTTCTGTGTGACAAGTCTAAAAATACCTAAACTGGTTTCCACCATTGGCCTGATGTGCTCTGGAGGCTTTTGTTATTACATTTCACTCAGCTGTAACTACCTTTCAGCACACGTGGGACTTCTCTGTTGATCTCATTTAAAAAAAAGATGTATTTTATCTTTTTAATAAAAATCGCATATACTTAAGGTGTACAGCATGATGATGAACACATACATATATGCGGTGAAATGATTGTTGTAAGCCTTGCACTCTGGAGGCGGCTGGGCTAAGGGATCCCAAAGAAATACTGATTTTGTGACAGAAACACAATAGATTTTTCTTTAAACGAGTAAGGAATAGACCATTTCTCTTTGAAAGACAGCTTCTAGGATCCCCGTTCCTTAGATAAATATCACATTTGGGAACACGGGTCAAGGGAAGAGAGTTTATAAACTATGAATATTTATTTTTTAAGCAAATATTTGCTGGACGCCTGATATACGCCAGCCACTGTCCTAGGTGCAAAGGACACAATGATGAAACAGATCAAGCCCATAAGGGATTCCCTTCAGTTAGGGAGACTGACAAGTAAATCAATAATTAAAGTGGAATTTGATACATGTGAGGATAGAGATACACTCAGGATGCTCAGGGAGCCGGGAAGTAGTTCATGACGATGCCTGCGAGGTTAGTGGAGATTGCTTTGGAGATGTGCTTTGATGCTAAGAATGAGTGTGAGAGGAGTTGGAGATAGACTTTTCTTGGCAGAGGGAAATAGCATTAGCTCACTCGGTCATTCAGTGAGTATCTGTCTGGTATTGACCATCTGCCGTGCTCTACTCTGGTGCTGGGGATGCAGCAGTATCCCCATTCTTAAGGAACCCAGTGTCGAGGAGGGACGGGCAGCAAAAAGGAAGCAAATACAGCTGACCCTTGTTACTCATGGATTCCGCACTTAGGAATTCACCTGTACTTTAAATTTGTAACCCCCGAATGCATGCATGTGGCAGGTCATTTGCAGGCAGAAAAAGACTGTGACGTGCATTATGGAGAAAATACGTGTCTGACACAAGCTTCAGTGAAGCATGAGTTAAAGTGCCATGAGTCCAATGTTCATGAATCAACAATATATATTAAAAAGGTGTCTTTAAACAAAAACACACCTACAGTAAGGTTATGTATTGAGGGGTTGAAAACTTTGGGACCGGAGGCTTGCAGGAAACCTGCCCTGTATTTCAAAACCCTTGGAACAGTGGCTCAGTAGTTGCTAATTCAGTGTTCCTGGAGATTTTATGTACATAAGTCCCATGATAATGAGAATCGACTCTAAATCCACATACTGGTTTCAGATAGTTCTTTTCTATGAAGGAAACACACACGTACTATGCTAGCGAGTGGATAGTTCAGGGGCTTGGGGAGAGGCTCACTGAGGAGAGAACACTGAGCTGAGATCCGGGTGACGGAAGGCAGCTCTGCCAATATCCAGGAACAAAGGTGAAGGTGCAAAGGCGTGAGGTAGCAGTGGATATGCTGTGCATGAGGAACAGAAAGTAGGTGCAGGAAGGGAGAGGAGCCTGTGAAGAGAGGTGGGCGTCAGAAAAGAAACAGGCAGGTGCTCCACATACCCCAACTGAATCTGACAGGATAAATGTGTCTGGCTGAGCTTAGGCAAGCAAGCTGCCTGTGGCTTCGGATTTACTGGTTCTTAGGGTGGTGTGAAGACCTGGGGCAGTGGTTATTTTATAGAAAAAATCATTAAGAGTTCTTTTTAATCAAAAGAATATTTTAGAAATTTTGCTTTATTATATCATTCGGTCCAGTCAACACATTGCAAAAACGTTTCCCTTATAAAGTAAAAGAAGAATCTTCCTCACATTCAGTTAGGTGTTACTTTTATGTATCTTGTGACTAAACTGTAAAAATCCATTGCAACATGATTTTGAACATCTCAGCATGGTATTAATAAAATAATAATTTTATAATACAGGCCGTTCTTTATTATTTAAGAACACATTTTAATAGAACAACTGTACTCACCCTGCTGGGAATTAGTCAGCAGCAGTGATGCTCATTAGCAGCAAGTTAAGGGAGAAAATAAAATAAGCAAAGGAAAAAGTGACTAATTTCAAAGCACTGAAAAAAAAAAAAAAAGAAAAACTTTCATTCTTTTCTCTCTTTCTTTCTTTCTTTCCTTTTTTTTTTTGTTTCAATAGCAGTTGATGGAAACTTGTTTTGCCAAATAGCTTTGTTGTTGGAGAAGTGTTTTTCAGTGATTGAAAAGCTAAAATTCCATTGCTCTTTTCATACTATAAATCTGATTTTTGTTTAATTTTGATAACTGAATAGGGCTCTAATTGAGCTAAAGGGGTGTAGCATCACTAATGACCAAAGGACACTCCTTAAAGTACAGTGTTTTAAAGTTAAAATTCTTTTAGTAAATTGTTTTTTTGTTGACATGAAGGGTAACTTTTATTTAAATAATTCATCATTGAACTTTCCATATAAGACTGGTTTGTTTTCAAAAAGAAGTCTAGATATTTATTTTGACTTTAAAAATTGCATAATATGTACCCAAATGCTTAGGACATCATAAGAAAGTCACCCAGATAATGTGACGTTCACCGAAAGGGCAAAGCCTGCCACATCAACTCTAGGTCCTCTGCTCTCAAAGGAAGTTGCAAAGAAGCAGACATAGGAAAGATACGTGTCCCTATAGATTACTATATAGACAGACTGATGCTTCTTCATGAACTTCAGGGTGATAGCCAATGTGATGGGAAAATGGTGATTGGAAACTTTGGGGAACAAAGCAAGACCTCTGTGTACCTCTGGGCACTCGGTAGGGTGAGAAGGATCTCAGGGTCTCTGCAGCTAAGGAGGAAAAAAGTGTTTCTAAGATCACCCTATGACCCTCCCTGATCCAACGCTGTGCAGATGTGGGGCTGGGCGTGGGGTAGCCCCATGCCGTGACCAGGAGGTGGAGGCCTCCTGACTCTTGAGCCCCATGGAATTTAAGGCACCTTCAGTTTGTATATCTGTGCACGTGTATGTGTGCTCACATGTATGTGTGTGTGTGGAAAGGAGAAATCTAACACACCTTGGGCGTCTACTGCATTTTAAGCATTATGCTATGCTAGTCATTCACATATATTGATTTATTTAATCTTTACAACAACTCTGTAAGATATATCATCCCTATTTTGTAGATGGGGAACTTAAGGTGTAGAGATGTATGAAATTGGCCTATGACTTCCAGCTACCAAAGCTAGTATCAGAATGTGGGATGAATGCAAACCTCTGGGAATTCCTGTGGTTAGTGTTCTACTGAAGACTATGCATTTAGGGAGTCTCTGTGGTGTCTGGGTTGAAGCTTCAAAATAAAGCCTAAATTAAAAATGAGGATAGCTTCTTTGCATTTTAAAGTCCTGAGTTTATTTTTCTCAGGCACCTGGTGAAATAGACACAGACTCTGCCCTGTTTGGATGAGAGCTCTCACTCCCTATGGCCTCCTTGTCTGCATGCTGCAGGCTAAAGGTGGTCACGTCCCCGGCCAGATGGCGGGGGTGGGGGGCACATGGTCTCAGGTAAAAGACAGTGAGCCAGGAGCCTGGATATTTGACTTGCACTTCTGGTTTTATCACTAGAGTAATTAGTCATGTGGCTTTGGAGGAGTCTGAAATATGCTGTGAGTTGAAGTCAGACATCTAATAGTTATCTCGTTCATTTTCACATCCTCCTGCAAAGACCTAGAGGCACACACGCATATTACATTCTGACTTTTGCTGAGATTAAGGGCAAAGGCTCTTGGCCCATTCTGGCCGGGTTTGATTCTTATCTTATCACCTACAGCTTTGTAACCTTGGACGAATAGCTCACCTTTTTATGTTTTAGTTTTCTCATCTGCAAAATGAATTTCATAATGGTACCCATCCCATAGGGTTGTTAAGAGCACTGAACCCAAAGTTCTAGCACATAGTTAGCATACAATAAATCATTTTGTTATTATTGCTGTTATTAATATGTTAACACATGTTTGTTGAAGGATTAAAAGAAATACATAAGAATTCACTAATCACTTAAATGTTATTCTCAAAGAGGAGTTAAATAAAGGAATGACTTAAAGGTTATATAGGGAATCTTCTATGTAACTTGGTTGTTTTGGATATTGGAAGGAACATATGATGCAATGATGTACTACCACTTGGATGAAAAATGTAGGCTAGAGAGGGAAGTGACCTGGTTAGAAAACGAAACTCCCTCAAGGTGTTTTATTAAAACCTTTCAGATCCTAAACCATGGCCTCTCACCTATTTAGACGGCCTCTTGTCTCTGCTCCTCCTTCTGGGACCCTAAGGTTTTAAACATGTTTAGCTGATTTGCTTTACCTACCTAGCATGTTTATGTTTGTCTTCAAAGTTATTTGTCTAACTAGGGCTAATGGTTTTGAATCATCTGTTGATGTGGTTGTTTAGCGTCTGTCAACACTTTGACTATGAAATGATATTTTCAGTGGCTTCTAATCCTGCTGTGGAAGTTGGCTGCATGCTGTGATTTGGGATGGGCACCTTCAGTTCTGCAGCAATTACAAATAAATAAAATTGGATAAATATGTCAGAGAATTGTTTTTTACCTGCTTATTGAAAAGAATGCTATTTCCCCTCCCAATTTGTCTTTTCTTTTGGGATTAAAATCCAAGTAGTCATATACTTCCCAAGGTGTAATTATTACAATTACATATATTTATTATTACATGTATATTCTAATTACATTTGCACCAAATGTGAGACTACAGTGGGTTCCTTCAAGATTTAAAATGTTAGTCAAATTTGCATCAAGAAGAACGACAGTTAACACTTATTATATATTTACAGATCCCAGGATTAAGGGATTTAATTTTATCAATCAGCACTGTTAGTATTAACTACACTCCATGAATTCACTGCCATTCACTTACTTAATCAGAATTTTTGATATATTTGCCTAATAATTATTACTAATGATATTGGTAATTAAAAAAAATAACACCTAGACTTAAAAATTAGGTATTAAATTAATTTAGATTGGTTCTAATGATTAATTTCATGGGATTAAGCAAACACATAGGTTTAAAGTACTGTAAAGTATCTATGAGTCTGTTTTAGAACAGGGTTCCCTGACCTCGGTATTATTGATATTTTTGGTCCAGATACCCTTTGTTGGGGGTGGGGGAATGTGCTGTGCGTTATAGCGTGTTGGCAGGATCTCCGGCCTCTGTCCACCAGATGCCAGGAGCAGTCTCACGGTTGTGGTAACCAAAAATATCTCCAGATATTCACAAATGTCCCCCAAGAGTAAAATCATCGTTGGTTAAGAATCACTGCTTTAGAATATTTACTTTATATTGAAACTTAATGTATAATATCATCATGTTCAAGTGTTTAACTTCTTCCAATAAAATTAATCACAGTGGAGGTATAAAAACACATGGCAAAGCAGATAGAAGGTTTTATTGGGTCAAAAAGCGAGATCTTAACTTCTGAGAGTGGCTTGCTTTTGGAATGTATTAGAAAAAGATAAATTATTGCACAAGTTAGTTTTGGGAACTAAATTCCACAATATGTCAACACTGCACGTAGAGTTCAGAGGTACTGTTTCCAAGTTTCAGTGCTCATGGGCCTGTATCACACGAATTCACCAAAGCAACGTTCTCCTCCTCGTTAAACCTGTTTTTGTCTGAATGTTTATGTGAGGGTCATGTATGATGTTGGCCTTCCGGAGGAACGTATGGATGGGTGCAGACACCATGTCTGTGCTGAAACGATTTTGGAAGAGAAGAGGAAATAGTGTCTTGCTTCCTGAGCCGGATGCTAGGAGATGTGCAGATGAATTACGTGGGCAGTGTAGATTGAACGAGAAGCTGAGGAAGCTAAAGTTCCAAGCTGCTCAGTGCAGAGGCTTCTTCCAAAGCCTAATCTGGTATTTGTAAATGTTTACTCTTTTTCTTAAAGCCCTGTGCCAACCCCTCCCCCCGCCCCCCCCCATTGTATAAATACAAGGACCCACATACACATAACCACATAGTTTTGGAAACTGTATGTTTTCATCTACTTGAAAAAGGTAGATTGCATCTCAGGGAGTTGAACTGTGCCATGGCTGTCTGCTTCCAGCCACTTCTCTTCCTCTGCACACATGGATCGCTCACAACCCCTGTGATTTCAAATGTAGTTTAGGCTATGGCACAGAGGGTCAAAGGCAGGATTTTGAAATCATAATCTTAATAAAGTGAAATACTAGTGAGCCTTGGTGCTGGACATCTGATTAACAGTGACAGGTGCCTTGTGCCAAAGGAAAGCTGTGAGAGAAAAATGGAGAGGGTATCCATGCACAAGATTTGGTGGGGAAGTAGAGGAGAAATTGTGGAGAGGGCATGCTGAATTGATGGGTAGAAAGGAAGCAGTGGGAGGTTCATGGTCATTTCATGTGGTCAGGGGTTATTGTCAAGGACATGGGACAAGGGGCAGCGGGACAAACCTGAAGATGTCCGGGTGTTTTGTCACACTCCCTGGAAACCTGCAGTTGCATCTGCTTCACATCTAGGGACTGTCTGACCTCAGGAAGAAGCTCTCATTCTACCAAAACCTTGGAATGATCTTTAGAATGCACAAATTTGACCCTGCATGCTGTTTGGGCTGCTTAATTTTGAAATTCACCAAGGTTTTTTTTTGTGGATTTTTTTGTAGCTTTAAGAGATCCTCGGTTTTATTCCTGCCCCATTTACAAGAAGCCAGTCCGAACGGATCTGAACTACATCACCGCTGTGGACCTCAGGACAGCACAGGTCCCTGAACACTGGGTGCTCCGTGGGGTTGCCCTTCTCTGTGATGTCAAGTAACATGGGATGTGTCCCCACCCAAAACTTCAGAAAATCCAAATTATCCTAACCTTTGTTTGTCTGTGAGTGCTGAACAATGTATAAATCAGGTTGATCATGCAGTTAATGAGCTGCGTAGGTTTTTCTACTCTTTAGTTGGACGCTTAATTCCTTTTAACCTGCTTCATCCTTAATGACCAATCCCTGTGTTTGTTGAAAAGTTATTTGGTGATTTAAAAGCAAAATTTACAACTTCCTAATGAAGTGTGGCCCGCAAATCCACAGTAATGCATTCAGGTCCAAAGACTGGGTAAGGTCAAGCAGACATTTCCTTGAAGCGATTATTCTTCTGCTAATGTGGTTCTGGTAACAGCCAGCCCTGTTCTCTAAGGTAACGTGGCAGCTTTGTGCTGATTTTGCTTCTGTGGCCTTTTGCCCTTAGGTCAGGTTAAGAGATTTGTTTTCACGGCTTAAGCAGCCATTTGGGAAGACCTTTTAGAAAATGGGAGGAAATAGAATGGGTTAAGAATGTGAATAGATGAATAGACAATTCATGTAATCTTACAGAATAAACATATAGAATGATGTTCAACCCCACTGATAATAATGAGATACTGATTATAATAAAAAAAATTAAAGCTGAAAGTGAATTGTGGTGAAGTCTTTGTAAAAGTGGTATGCTTAGAGATTCCTAGAGCAATGGAAATCAACCCATCTTTTTTGTAAAATAATTAAATATCCAAGCACAGAAAGAGCCATAAAAATGTTCATATGCTTTGAGCCTTATCTTCTCTCCTGGAAATCTATACCAAGAAAATAATTGAAAAGGCTGAAGTAATTTATATATCAAAATGTATTTAATAACAGAAAGCAGTGGGAGCACCCTACTGTGTTCAATACTAAGTCTATACTTAAGGAAGTTAGGGGATATGAGGCAGCCATGATAAACAGGATCAAACCTTTCTTAGCATGGAAATGGTAAACACGTACTATGAAGTGAAAGACATACCTCAGAAAATAACAGGTTGACTTGAAAGGGTGTAATGATTGGAAGACCAGGCAAAGAATAGAAGTCAGTTGGTGTGGGGGGATGCCACGTGGGCTTTTATTAATAAAGAAAATACTATCTGTGGAAGTTTTCACAGATTTTTATTTTAAATCCTGGTTATAAATTATAAACTGCTTTGTCTATAACTTACTGACTAGAAAACTTGGTCAAAATTATATTAGAGTTGTGGTCTACAAATGATTGCTTAACTTCACGTCCGCCTAACTTCATATTTCTGGTGATAAAGCGTTTTATAGGGAGGAAGGGCTGCAAGGAGATAGGTCTGGGTCCTTCTCCTTTTATGTTAATTATGGTCAGAGGTAGACCTGAGGGGTTCATGTGACCCTACCCATCTTGGACGATACTCTTTTCATTTGAGAGCTTCTTTTGGTCTGAATTAATATATACCAGTTGATTGTGTGAAAATCGGTAAAACAATCATTTTATTTTGAAGAACAAATAAGATGTAGGAATGATGTGAATTAGTAAAAAGCTATGAATGAATGTCTGAATTACAACTGCTATTTCTTAGCCAGGGGGCAAGTGCCATTGAGTACCCAGAAATAAGCTTTCAAAACGAGGTTTCTTATCAAGTTACTTGAAAATGCATAATTTATCTAATTTTGTGAATCACCCTGTTGGTGTGTATGTACAAGTGTTTGAGACCAAAGTAGGAAAGGACACCATGGAAACAACTAGAACTTTTTAGGGACTAATTCAACAAGGAATGTCGCTGAAGAAGTGAAGAGCCAATGAAGCCCCTTTCTGCTCCACCTCCATCTCCCACCCTGCAGCTCCCACCCACTGAAAGGTTCTCAGCTTCCACTGAATGGGGTGAGGGTACAAGAGAGGACTAACTCATTGACTCTTCTGGGTGATGGAGAGAGTCACCAACTGCTTGCCTGAGGAGAAAACAACACCCAGAGAGTGTCCTGGTGCCATTGCAGAGTCTTTGTCTTCATCTCAATATTGATTTGCTTAGAAAATTACTTCAGTGTGTCTGACTCCCGTGTGTCAGGAACAATGGTGGGAAAAAATGCTCGTGTTCCCCGAATTCAAGGACTTCACATAAGAGGACTAGACACAGAGAATAAGTGACTATGCAGGTATGTAACTTTATATGATCTCCATGTATGAATGTATAATATGACACATGTGTGAGGTTCATAGAAGGAGGTATGAACATTGGGACTTTAGTGCTATGAAGGAAAAGGCCGGATGCTAGGAGAAGAGCGACAGAGACCACAGCCATTCAGGTGTCATGGATTAGCAGGCAGAAGCCACCCTACAGCGTCCCCATTTATTTTTTATTTATTTATTTATTTTATTATGTTATGTTAATCACCATACATTACATCATTAGTTTTTGATGTAGTGTTCCATGATTCATTGTCCGTGTATAACACCCAGTGCTCCATTCAATACGTGCCCTCTTTAATACCCATCACCAGGCTAACCCATCCCCCCACCCCCCTCCCCTCTAGAACCCTCAGTTTGTCCCCATTTATTTTTAACTGAGGACATAAAACATTAATAGCAGCAAGGAGCTCCCCTGAGCCAAAGCAGCTGCTGTCTGGCTTTTCCTGGTCCCCTGGTTCTCCTGTGCAGTGGGCTGCTGGTGACACTCTTGATGCAAGTAAAGTCCTTCCAGAGTTGAGACAAAAGAGAACGCTTTGCCACACTGGAACTGTCCTATTAAGCATGGGGCTTACATCACCTTTCCACTTACCTCTGTCTTCTCTGAGCTTCTCTTTGAGGGATCGTTGGCAATCATCGAACCAATTCAACACCAGCAAGGCCAGGTCCCCATCAGGGGACATGGCAAAGGCACAGCCCAGGTGTTCTTGAGCAGCCTCTCTACCATGGATGCTCTTTCCCTGCAGAGACCTAATTTGATTGGGCCCTAAGGAAGGGCAGCTCTGTAGAGGTGACATCTAAATTTAGATCTGAAGGACAAGGGAAAACATCTCTGACCTGCCAGTACTGGGGAGTCTTCTCTTGCTCCCTAATGAGAGGAAGTGAGCACCGTAAGGGTGACAAGAAGCCCAGCCTGGAGTGGGAGGGCTGAGGCGGGCTGCTTCCTAAATGGAATTTCAAACCTTGTTTGACTGCTGCCAGCTACAGAGTAGTGGCCCATGGAAATCATGTGTTTCTAAGTCACTGGAGTGAGAAGTACTTCTTAGTGTTAAATGCTATTTGTGATGGAAAAGTCTTGTAAAGAATTTGACAGTAGGAGACAGGGTGAGGCAAATCACAAATGTTATATAGTTAAATGGTTTGCAGGATTCTCCAGTATAGAGAAAATGCACAGCATCAGCAATATCTTTATCAGTGATGAATTTTCGTTCAAAGATATAGAATTATAAAAAATTAGATATGTTAGTATATACTGATAATGTAGTTTACAAATTTTTTGCAGCACAAAAATCTTTAGTAATGATAAGAGTAATAAAATATATACATGAGCAGTTTTCTCTTAAAGATAATATTTCCCCTCCCACCCCCAGATCTGCAGCATACTTTTTTTTTCCTATGTCAGGCCCCGGTGAGGTGCATAATTGCTTTTACATTTTAAATTCTTTTCTCTTGCAAGTACTTAGAGTGATTTTTAAAAATTATATTGTGTAACTGATGACTGTTGATGAGTAGCCCCCAGCAACCCATCAAAATAATGCCTCTTAAGGGTAAACAAATGGTCTACTTATATTCACAATATGATCCTCCAGATTGGGTGAATGCTTTAGAAGACCAATAAACAAATCAGTAGGTTGTGAAAAACACAAGGAAGTCTAGTAGTTTTGGCTTGTAATTTTTGTGGCATTTAGTTGTAATAATTGTTGCCGTTTATGCGTTCTTGTCAATTCACTGACATCTGTTGCACCCACCATGTGCGTTTGAAGAGTTCACATATACCTTCACAGTGAAGAACAGGAGAGAATTCAAGGTCAGCGTTAGAATCAGAGAGGAGCTTGGCTAAGACCCTGAACCCATGAACGCGTTCTTACTTATCTTAAATGGTGAGTCTCATTCTGTGTTGCACTTGAAACACGATGAACCCGACCGAGGCAAGAGCAGAATGTGTTGTTGACCCAATCTGCCCCCGAGGGGATTTCCGGGTTCTGTTCTTTAGCCTGGAAAAACCATACAGCAGAGAAGCCCAATAGGCAGTACTTATGGGTTGGATCCTAGTCTCTCATCTAGATAAGAAGAAATGAAAATGTAGAGATTCGATGGGAAGGAAGGAACCCAAGGGTGGGAAGAGGTATCCTGAGTGGGGTGGGGTGGCAGATAAAAAGGAGGGTCAGGTTTCTTTTCGGACACTGTTAGAATGCAATTATTAGGGGCGCCTGGGTGGCTCAGTTGGTTAGGCGACTGCCTTCGGCTCAGGTCATGATCCTGGAGTCCCGGGATCGAGTCCCGCATCGGGCTCCCTG